CCTCTTGCCGCGCCCGCCGCCGCCATCGGACATGCCAAGCCAGTCCTCCTCGTCCGTGGGCGCCGCCGTGGTCTCTGCCGCGTGCGCCTTCTTCTTCGCCGCGAGCGAGGGCGATGGCCACCTCGAGTTGCTGCGTGACCTCCTCGTCGGCCGACTACCAGTCTGCCACCAAGGATGTCTTGCCCAGCTCGAAGTGGGCACAGACTGTGTCCCATCCTTTGTTGGTGGGCGGCCTGGCCAGCGACTTCTCCTTCGTTCGGAGCGAATCGACCTTCTTACGTGCCTGTCCGGCCCTGTTATCAGCTGCTCGCAGCTGGATCTGGATGTCCCCCACCTGCCGTTCGAGCTTTGCCACCTGACCGTTTGTTTTTGCCTGTGCTCTCCATGCTCCACGGAGACGCCGCCGTACAACAACCTCCGCGCACCATGCCCGAAACGAGGCCTCCTTCGGTGCGAGCACCACTTCGACATGTTCTTGCAACTTCGTCGTGGCTTTCGATGCGAACTCCATGCCCGGCTCCTGCGGATGCTGTTCAAGGTCCTTGACGCGGGACCTGTCGACCTCCAGCTTCTTCGCAGTGCACGGCGTGGTCTCCTGAGAGGAATCGCCCTCGAACCCCTGGCGTGCGTCTTTCCAACCATCGCCTTTTCCCGTCCTTCTTGGCGGTTGGCCGAGGATTTTTACTCAAGTACCATACCCTCGTCTTCCCCCAACAGGTCACCAGCATGGCACCCTGGGCAGGTCCACGCATCGCTAGTCTCCTGGGACTTCTGACGGTTCGGGGCGGCGGCGCCACTGCCGAGTCTGCCGCACCCTGCGGCACGAGCGATCTCCTGGCGCCTGGAAATGTTCGAGTCGGGCAATGGTGTGGCAGGAGGGAGAGGAGGAAGAGGAGGAAGAGGAGGAGGAGGAGGAGGAGGAGGAATTTTAGGATTTTGGAGGAGGAGGAGGAGGAGGAGGAGGAGGAGGGAGGAGGAGGAGGAGGAGGAGGAGGGGGAGGAGGAGAGAGAGGAGGAGGAGGAGGAGGAGGAGGAGGAGGAGGGGGGCAACGCGATTGAGCGCCACTTTCTCCCGAAGCCGTGGGTCTACTCGCGCACCTCCGCTATCCCACGGCCATCTTGCTGCCACGAGGAACGCCGAACAAACCACGCAGGGTTCCCTCTGGCCACGGTGGGCCTCGGACGCGAAGAGGTCCCTCGACCTGAACCGGAGGCCCGATGATCCTCAGAACGCGTGTCGACGCCAACGTGTTTGTCCACCGGGGCCCTTCGATAGGGCGTAGATTTCCAGCCTCGAGCGTATCCCTATCCCCAAGATTGACACGCCAAAAGGCGATGACAATCTTAGGATTGGCATCGTGATGAGGAGGTGCCCAGCATAGGGATAGGAATATGGAATATGTTCCAGGCTGGTAAGTAAGAGGCGAAGACGGGGGGCCGACACAAGCTGCGCGCAGTCGGCGGAGCCGACGGGGGTGGCACAAACGCCTGGGCAAACACGCGTCCTAAGGATCACCGAGTGGCACGGCCCGAAAAACAGAGCCCCTCCCGAGCCCAGTGGTCCCTGTTCCCCGGCGGCGCGCCCAGGGTGGAAGTGACCAGGGGCGGGCCCTCTCAGGAAGCTCGGAAGTCCCCCTGCCGTCTGAGAGGCCGCCACCGGCCCTCTGGGCGTAGGAGGTTTGACGGACTTCGTCTCCCTCTGCTACAACCCCTCCTTCCCCTTGCTCGGGGGAGGGGTTGGATCACTTTTCCCTATGAGTATACACACCCTCCTCCAAGAAAAGCCAATCAGGAACCATGCGGGCACCCCCCGACATCCCTTTCAAAAAGCAATAAAAAACGCACTCTGCTTCCACATTTGAAGCATGCGCGGCCAACCCGATGCGGCCCCCCCAACCATCCCTGAAAAAAACACTACAAAGTACACATTGGGGCAAAGTCTAGGGTCATGTTCGTCAGGCCCGCGAGCACTTTGTGTAGTGTTTGGCAAAACGGCGGGGGTGTCAGCATATTGCCTGCTGCGCGCAAGGCTACCACCCCAAAGAAAAAAAAACATACAAAATGCACCTCGCGGCTAAATCTGGATGATGCGCGGCCACCCCGCGATCACTGTCAAGTGGTTTTGAACAAGGACGGCGGGGGTGGTGGCGCATGGCCTGCCGTGCGCAGGCCCACCCGACACAATAATGGCCACTTCTGTTCGACATGGGTGGGGGGGTCGACATGTTTCCCAATGTGTGCTGTCACGTGCGCCAGCGCACCTGACTCCCACACTGCGCGTGCCCCGAACGTGGCGCACCTGGCGCGGCTGGAGTATGCGGCGCGCCCGGCGCACGCGGAGCACGTGGCGCATCTGGCGCAGCAGGCGTGCCTGGCACGCTCGGACCCCAGCGGTGCCTGGAGCGCGTGGCGCGCCTGGCACGAGTGGCGCACCGCGCCCCAGCGTCCCGCACCTGGGCTCGGTTCTGGCTCCCAGTAGCTGTCCATCCGGAGACGACCGCTGAACATGCAGAGGCTCGGGTGTTACTTCTGTGTTTGGAGGGCGGGTTGGAGTGAGCTAGACGGCTTGTTATCTATGAGGGTGTATTCATCACTGTTCCCTATTAATATAACACCCCTCCCCTAAACGACTGGGAGCCAACCCGAGTCCATGAGGCACCCTCCCACCATCCCTCGTAAAAACACTAGAAAACACACTCTGCTTCAAAATTCAGAGCATGCGCAGCGAACCCGATGCGGCCTCCCCCCACCATCCCTGTCAACAAAAACAAAACAGAATACACTGGGCGGCGGCGGCGGCGGCGGCTGCGGCGGGGGCAGCGGCTGCGGCGGCTGCAGCGGTGGCGGCGGCGGTGGCGGCGGCGGCGGCGGCGGGTGCGGCGGCGGCGGCGGCGGCGGTGCGGCGGCGGCGGCGGCGGCGGCGGTGGCGGCGGCGGCAGCGGCTGCGGCGGCAGCGGCTGCAGCGGCGGCGATTCGGCAGCGAGGGCGGCAGCGGCGCGGCGGCGGCGGCGGTGGCGGCGGCGGCGGCAGCGGTGGCGGCAGCGGCTGCGGCGGCAGCGGCTACAGCGGCGGCGAGTCGGCAGCGAGGGCGGCGGCGGCGGGCGGCGCGGGGCGGCGGCGGCGGCGGACAGCGGCGGCGGCGGCGGCGGCGGCGGCGCGGCAGCGGCGGCGGGCGGCGGCGGCGGCGGCGGATTCGCCCCGCTGCCCATCCAAAGACGACTGCTGCGTATGCTGAGGCTCGGGCCAGGCTCGGGTGCTGCGCATGTGTTGGGAGGACGGGTGGGAGTGAGCGAGACGGCTTGCGGGCGGGGAGGGCGTCTTGACCGCTCCCCCTACCCCCTCTCCTGGTCCTGGGAGGGGTCAGAGCGCCCAAGATGGCCCAATATTGCTCCATGAGGGTCTCAGAGAGCCCACGATGGCCTCCAAGATTACCCAAGATACCTGACGATAGCTCAAGATAGCCTCGGACAAACATCCAAGAGGCCTCAAGACTGCCCCAACACGATTTCAAATGCCCTCCGGGTCCTCCAAGGACTCCCCCAAGAGGCCAAACTGGCTCCCAAACCGAAGGACAATCCACGCAATTTGCCTTCTCGCCTTTTCGCTTCCGATGGGCTCTTGAGGCCTCAAGATGGCCCCAAGACGGCCCAAGAGAGCCCCAAGAGGGGCCTAAGAGGGCCCTCAGAGCGCCCCAAGAGCGCCCAAGCGCGCTCCCAAAGCGCCCCAAGGGCCTCAGGACGCAATTGTTGAGTCATGAGGGCCAAGATGGCGCCAAATGGCCTGCCAGACCCCCCCCCAGCGAGCGCAAAGAGGGCCCCGAAACGGCCCCAAGAGAGCCCCAGGAGGGCCTCAGAAGTGCCCCAAGAGGGCCTCAAAAGTGCCCCAAGAGGCTCCGCGAGGACCCCAAGAGAGCCCCAAAATGGCTCCACGAGACCTCCGAGAAAACGCTTCCAAGGCGGTTGTTACGCTGCACTCTTCTACACTTCCCTGATCAAAGCAACTCGCCTGGCGATCTGCTTCTGGATGGGCTGGTGGGGTTGCGCCCGTCCTTGCGGGAGTGCCCGGGGGTGGTCCACCCCACTGCATGGTGAGCTGCGCACTCCAGTAGGACCCAGTCGTATTTTAACGTTTGTACCCCCCCCCTTGATGAATCCAAATATTCGAATGCCCATACCTCTGCCTCACCGACCTGTCCTGGGGTGCGTTCTGACCCGGATTTCGAGGCGAATCCGGCCGCGGTGACGAGGGAGGGGTAGCGGCATCGGTGTCTCTTCCTCCCCAGAACCCAGCGCACGGGGCAGCCACTGGGCGGCCACGAGCGAGGACCAGCCAGCAAACTCGGCAGGAGGAGGAGGAGGAGGGGGAGGAGGAGGAGGAGGAGGAGGAGGAGGAGGAGGAGGAGGAGGAGGAGGAGGAGGAGGACAGCCGGCCACCCCCGGGGGAGCCATCCCCGGCTACGGAGGAGTCTGCCGGCTCCCGACTAAAGAGCGCCGGCCGCGCGGGGAAGACTCACGGCCGCCTGCTGGAGGAGGAGGAGGAGGAGGAGGAGGAGGAGGAGGAGGAGGAGGAGGAGGAGGAGAAGGAGGAGGAGGCGTGGGGGGGATCCCTGGGGCCCCGCTCCTGCCTGTTGGGCCCTGCGCCCTGCTTGAGACAGCTGTGCCCTGCGGTGCTTTTGCCCTGCCTGTGGCACTTGTGCCATCTTTGCGGCGTCCCAGCGACTGCAACTGCCAAGAGCACGAGCGGGCCCCTGACCCAGCCAGACCTCTGAGCTCTCCATCCCTCCCCTGACGCTGGCTCTTCATGTTGGGTGGCGTCTCGGCGGGACCCGTGGCCTGGAAAGCGCTCGGAGGCTTAAAATTGCAGGACATCGTGAGCGCAATTTTTCAGGATCGTGAACAAACGGGAGCATAGTGGACCCCAAGCTGAGCGCAGCGGCAAAAGTTTGCCCGAGCGCAGCGGCAGCAGCCCGCGGTTGGGGCAGCACGCGCGCTGGCTGGGTCCAGCTCCATCCAGCGGACGGCGGCCTCCTCTCTCGGCAGCACCGTCTGGCGTGGGGGGGCAATCCGTTGATCGCTGGTTCCTCGATGGGAGTGAGCCGGCTGGCGTCTGGCTGATCAGGGAAACGGACCCGGACACCGACATCAAGCGTCGTGTCTTCGCTCCACAGCGTGGCTCCCCAGAGGTAGGGACTCCTTCCCTTGGACCGGCTTTTCGTCTTGAATCGATGTTGGACGGTGTCAGGGCCCTGTCAAGAAACCGAAATCGGCCCAAAACAACATATCTATTTTTCACGATGCGAGAATGTCGGGAGAGGAGGAGGATCGAGGATTGAGGGGCGTCCTCGTCGCCACGGCTGGATCCGCATCGAAATTCTATGCAGAATTCAGTCCAAGTGAGGGGCAACTCCGACCATGTCTTCGTGCCTTAGGTCGGCCCGATCTGCCCGACGCCCCATTCCCCCCCCCCCGCATCCATTCTGCGATAAGCGTCTGATTACTGGGGAGCCCACGTAGAAACATTCGACAGGAACACGTTTCCCTTAAGGGCTCGAGGACTATGTGAAATCAACTGCCAGAAGAAAGGCAAGTAAACCGAGTGGAACCGATGTGTATGAAAATGAGTCGAGGCAGCTCCAGATAGATTGAAACCAAGCTGAAGAAATTGTTGAAGATCCAGCGCGCGTGGAAGAAGATCAGAAGACGTTGAACCCTTGACAACCTCTGGGCTTTTTGCTCGCAAACGCCTCTCATCTGACGTGCGGCGAGGCGCACAACACACCTGCGCGGTGTCCGGGCGCCAGGGACAATGCACAGCTTGCCAATACCTGGAGAAGGACGGAGGGTGACGATCGGGCACCATCAAGTCTGCCTCCGCGCGATGGTTCCCGACATCGTGTGGATCGTTCAGCCTTGAGCGGTCGCAGCTCCACAAACTTCCCGAACGCAACTTCTCGACGCAATACAGTCGGGGCGTTGACCTAAGGAACCCCAAATAAGGAACGAGGCCCCTTTTCTCCAGAAGTTGAGCTTCGATTTTCTTTCGAAAACCTAAGAAAAACGTGGGGCAAACTGTGAAACACTTAAAGAACACGGAGCCCCTACCCAACGAAAAGAGTTCCTTCTTCAGCGCCCCGACGCAATAACACTTTTGGCGTTCAATCCGGAACGCCGACGCTGGGGTCGCCGCCGGCTTGACGCGGCGCGCATCGCGCGGACCCACCTTTACCGCTACACATCCTTGCCAACTGTTGCGACACGTGTCCTGCGGCGTTCTGCCGCGGCGGACGTTTGGAAGCCTCCCTGGGCACATCCCCATTCAAGCACTCTGGCAACGGAAACTCCCTCTGGGCCTGACTCGCCTCCCAGCCCTCTGCGTCTATACAGCAATAGAGCTGGGCTCGACACGCGTGAATCACACAAGAGAATGGGGAACTCCGTGTTCGATATGTTTGTCCCCCCGCACTCCGTGTTCGATATGTTTGTCCCCCCGCCCCCCGTCCCCCCGCCCTTCGATATGTTTGTCCCCCGCCGTCCTCGAATGCAGGTGCGGACGAAAGAAGGGATAGCAAAGGATGGATCGCGCATCGACTCACATGGTTGCTGTGCCCGGCGCCTCCAGGCGCCGGCGACGCTAATGTATCGAGGGAAGCAGTTGGCGGCGGGGCCGAAACTGGCTGCATGCAGCAGACTTCGCCTGTCTCCCTCTGCCGTCCGATCCGAACATGGGCGAGTGGATCCGAAAATGTTCGGAGACCCGGGAGCGCTCGGCCACCCCAGAAGCAGGCGGGGCCCAGGAGCAGCCGAACAGGCCATCTCCAGGCTAAAAGAACAAATCGGGTCTCATCCGTACGGAATAATCGGGGTGCAGGGTGCGGCCGACGGAGAAGTGTCAATGCACCATCCATCACTGTGCCGGGCCAGGACCCCCCTGGGCCATGGAATGGCGAGTCCCAGGGCCTGGGATGATCTTGGCCAAGAGCGGCGATGGTGTGAGTGTGTGTGGACGCCTCCTGCGTATTGTATACACCTCCTGCCCGCCGACGCGGTCAAGATTGGAGCATCGCTCTCGCTGGATACTCCTTCTTGCCCTCCTCCTCTCTCCTCAGTATCAGGAGGCTACTCCTGGGAGGTCTTCTGGAGCATGCCAAATGGCTTTTAAGCCAGATTCGCCCCTAATACGTATGTGCAATGCCATGCATCACTAGACCGGGTTAGGTAGGGTTGGGCCCATGGAGCTCTATTCGCTGATGCTGGAAAATGACCTCTCAACAGTCAGTTGCAACACTTCCTCAAATCATCGCCCGCACCTGGAAGTGCTTCTGGAACGCCGCGAAGCTGGCGTGCCAGTCGCCGCCAAACGCGGATCGCCAGGCGGCAACGGTCGAGCCGTACCGCTTGGCCAGTCTGCAGCGGAAGGCGCGCAGGCTGCGACCTGCACGCCCCGCGGCAATCTCTTCGTTCATGTCTCCCCTCTCGCCATGCCCCGTGTCCAGCAAGACTGGAGGGTCCGAACTGGACCCCACAAGCATCGTCGACAAACGGACACTTGTCGGAAAGTGCGTTGCTCAATGCTGTGAAGGTATTCCGGATGTCGGACATCCCTGCGTATGGTCCAAATGCTGCATGCCAACATGAAAGAGTGCCAATCACACAAGCACCGAAACCAATGACCGCCAATGTATGCTTGACGAATCTTGTAGGTAACCGAACTTCGCGCACCGCGCCCCGCGACGCAGGATTATCCTCGCCCCCCCCCTCCCCCGCGCCCTCGCGCCGACCCCTAGGAAAAGGGCAGCTGCTCTGGCCCCTGCCGCGCCGCATGAAGCGCGGTTATCTCCGTACGCCCGTGGGGTGACCCAGGGACCGAACACTCCACGCTGGAAAAGATTGGGCCCAGGCCGCATGCAGGAACAAGGGATTAGAACGGGGGGACAGAAGTCTCAGCGGAAGGAGGCGAGTATTCTGGGCCCCCCCCAGACTGACATCTACAAGCTAGCGCTGTGGCCATGCTGCGCAACAACTCGTACAGGCGAATTGCGAGCGTCGCCGCAGTGCCTTTCCATTGCCGCGCCGAGATGGGCAGCCAGGATCCTCTTTCCCCAGACCCCCTCCCAGAGGAAGTCTCTCCAGGACTCCAGAGCTCTGAGGCCTCCCTGCTTCCAGGATGCCGACGATGTCCTTCGTGCTCGTCCGAGCCGAGCCGAGCCGTGGCCACCGTGGGGACACGCCGACGCCCGCCCGCCGTCGGGCGGAGGGCCCACGCCCCGGCCTCTGAGCTCTCGGACACCCACTTCTGGGACCAGCTCGTCATCGTTTTCTTGTTCGGCGTTTCGTCATTGTTGAGCAGGGCTCGACCGTCCGGCATTCCTATAGCCCGACCACGAAATGTTCTTAGAACCCCAACATGTTCGAAGAGCAAGAACAATGTTCTTAGAACATGAACCCGATGTGATTAAACAAGACAGACTGCGCCAGAAATGTTTTAAGAACATTTCGTGGAAACCACAAAAGGTTCTTAGAACATTTTTTGGCAGGGCTTTATAGCGAGCCAGGACGCTTCGCCACTGCTTGACATTGGGCGGAGGGGGGGGGGGGGGCAGGGGAGGGGGTCTGGCTCCGGACCTCTGCCCAATGCGACCGCTTGCAGCAGTGCGTCCTGCGGGGGAGACTCCACCTGCTCGAAGCAGGCGCCCAAAAACAACCAAGATCTACTCCACGAGGCGGGGGTGAAGGGGGGGTGCGAGGGCCCGCGCGGCTCATGATGTTGTTTGCCAACGAGGCCAAACACCGGCCGCCAGACCACGAAACTCAAGGAAGCAAAGCAGCCGTGCACGTGCCGCGAGCCCAGATTTCCAGGGTTCCTGGAGGCCTCTGGAGGCCCCCCGTGGCTGCTGGGGAGAGCACATCAACTGCATGCTAGACACCTCCTGCTGGCCCTCATGATCAACCTTGCTTCTTGTGACCGACGCAAGATTGAAAGAACGTGCCGTGAATAATGCTCGTCTAGTGTCTGGACGGGAATTGTGAATTCTGAAGCCGACCCCCACCCCCGCACCGCACGCGTGGTCCGAAAACCGCCCCCGCTGAATATGTTTTCGGGCGCTCTTGTCCGCCTACAGACGGCCGCGATGGCCTCCACGAGGCTTCCAAAACAACCAAGACGATACCAAAACGGGACACTAATGGCACAAGACGGCTCAAGAGCCTCCCAAGTCGGCCTCAAGACATCTCAAGAGGCCTGCAAGACGGCTCAAGAGGATTCCGAGAGGCCCTCCAGAAAAGCCCGAGGAGGTCCACACCACAGGTAATCAGTACGTTTTTGAAGGTTGTGGAATTCTCGCCTGTTTAGATTTCCGACGCCTATTCCTGCACTCAGCCTCCTTCCTGTTGCGCTGTGGCACAAGCGCGGTATGGGAGGGATCTGCAGGCAGCTGAATACTGTGGGATGACGACTAGGGAGACACCGGCGAACGATACAAGCATAGCTTACCGCCGAAGGGTTCGAGAGGACGATCAAGAAATCTCAGTGACGACGACGACGCCCACGAGCGGACCTGGAACACCACGTATCAATAATCGCCCAGGGCGCTCCTGGAGGCCTCCGAAACGAGGCTGACGCAGATGGGGTCACAGGACCGCGCCACATCGCCGATGTATCGGCGATCGCGGGATGCGGATCGCCCCGTATCGCCGATCCACTGGTGATGCGGCGCGATCCTTCAACCCCACCCTCACTGGCCCTACGCTGTGAGGCCTGGATGATGGTCATCCTGTGAGAACTGGGCAACGGGCAACGAGAGGCCGCAGAGGAACTGCCTAACCTTTTTTCGACGAGTCACAGCATTGATCGGCCCAGCAAGGGAGAAGGATCGGTCTTGAGGCGCCCGGGGGCCTGGCCAGCCGAGCGGAGCCAGGTGCTCCTCGCCCGCATCTGCGCCTGCAGCCTGAGCATTTGACGGCGTGCGCCGAACACGCCCTCTGCGGTCAAATTCGTGGTGAGGGGATGCATGGTAGGCGTGCGGGTAGTTTGGACGCCAAAGTTGAAGCCTTTTTTAATCGGTGCACGGCCAACACCTGGGCCTAGCAGAACTCCAGGCATGGGCGCACAAGGCAAGGCTGCAAAAGTAACCTAGGAAAGATGCACGTCCTGCATCTGAATCTCTACTGCCGTTCGAAGAGCACCGGACGACCGTAGATCAGTTCCAGGCGGTCAACCACTATCCTCACTGAGCCCGGCGGCACGATGTGTATCCGACGCGTGCTTCTGACCTTCGCCTTGGTCGGCATTGTCGCTACTGCCGTCCACCCACGCCGCGGAGATCGTGCTCTTCCCGTGGACGCCTGCCACCTGGCCGACGACAGATGGCGCGACTTTCGCGGAACCATGCTGACCGCGGTGCTGCAAGGGCGCCGCGCAGGCGTTGGCGTTGTGATCCTGCTGTGGCCGAGGCTGCGCGGTCGCGCCCGAGATCTCGACTAAACCCTGCATCCCCCGATGGCTGGAGACGTACGAGGCCTCCACTAGGACCCGTCCGTTCCTGATGTCGATGCTCCCGCTTGCCTCCATGCAGACAAACTGCCTCGTCTCACGCCACGCGATGCTTCCGACTTTGCCTCCGCTGGGGATGTAGATCTTCCCGTGCAGCAGAGCCGTGCCGTCGTCTCTGGCCGACGAACCAGACAGCGATCCGTCCGGCGATATGTCGAAGCTGCACTTGGCGGGCTTCTCATTGCCTTCGACGCGATACATGCCGCTGAGGACCAACTGGCCGAGGCGAGGTCCGTTGAAGGCCGGCATCCTCTCGCGACACGCCTGCTTGTCTTTCAGCTGGGACACCTCTCCAGAGATCCAATATTCAAGCTTCTCGTGGATTTTTCTCCTTGTCATGTAAAACATGGCACAACAAGCAATGATCACCAACACGCCGACAAGAACCAATAGCCAAAATAGGTCACTGTCCTGCTCCTCAGTGCATTCGATATAGGCTTCCCCAAGAAACTCAGTGCAATCGTAACCGTCTGTCTCGGTGACGCCGTCGACACAGATTGTGCTTTCGCAGTCGATGCACGGAAAACAATAGTCCTCGACGTAGTCGTTCCCGATCAGGTTCATGCAGGCCGCTTCGATCCCTTCCTCGGACTGCATCGCGCAATGCACTCCATCCGTGCCCTCTTCCTGATGGTAAGTGCCGTATCGACGTCGACTACCGCTCCTTAGCACAAGAAAGTTCATGTAGGCGACAGCACCCATTGTAGCCCTGCTGTGCGTTGTGACGTGCCCTCCGCCTGTACCACCAAAGCCGCTGGAACTGCCACCGGAGCTGCCACCAGAACTACCGCCGCCAGACGTGCCACCACCGCCACTCGCTTTCGCCGACGCACCGCGCACATAAAAAACCAACGAAAAGGCGGCAGAAACAGCTGTTCTCAACAATCTTCCCCACTCAATGACCCGCATCGCCTGCAACCACGGCTGGCACAATGCGCGATCCGCAACCTCTCCAAAAGCGCGTTAAAGTGTGCCGCAATACCGTCTGGCAAGGTTCAGACAGTTTCTACGAGCAACCTCCCGCCACTCGTACCTGTGTTTGAAAACTGTCTCAGTTCGTTGCCCTGGCGCGAGAATGTCTGGAAATTACCACCCGAAACAACGAAAACCTGAAACTCCACATGAGCCAAAGACTACGTACATCACTTGTGCGATGGTGCATGATGAGTGCGTGTCGAGCCAAGGCATGGCAATGCGGGCGAAGACGCAGGCATACGGGATGGGGCAACTGCCTGAACTGTCCACCAACGATGCCAGACCGAGGGTCTGAAAAGATAGGCTCCTGCATCCTCGGCAAACCAACCATCGGACACCAACTCAACGGCACTCCAAATTAGCCTGGCGAAGGACCCAACCATATGCGGCTGTGAGCAACGCAGTTGTGAATGTTGTCTTCGGAGGAGTTCGCTTTGGGACTACGAAACATGTGAGACATGTACCGAAATGGGCGCGGCGAACGCATGCGAATGCAGCCACTGGAGTCTTCGGCGGAGTTCCATAGTTATGAGACCGCGAAACGTGTGAAGGATATGCCGAAAGTGGTCGTGCGGAAGCATGCGAACCCCGCCACTGCGGGCCTCCGGTGGAGCTTTAAGAAGCGTGTGAGGGATGTACCGACGTGGGCGGCGCGGACGCGTCTGAGTGGTGAGCCGAGAATCATTGGAGCGGACGCCTGCGAACGCAACCACTGGGGCCTTCGGTGGCGCTTCCTATGGGGCCGCGAAGAATGTGAGAGGCGTGCCGGAATAGGCGGGGCGGGCGCATGCGATTGCAGCCACTGGGGCGATCGGTGGAGCTCCCATATTGGCCACGAAACATGTTTGGGTTGTGCCGACATGTGTGCGGCGGGCGCATGCGAACATAGTCACTTGGGTCATCGGTGGAGCTCTCTGTGGGGCCACGAAGCTTGCGAGGGGTGTGCCGAAATGGGTGCGGCGGGCGCATGCGAGCGCAGCCACTGGGGCCTTTGGCGGAGCCACCGATGGGGCCACGAAACGTGTGAGTGGTGTGCCGAAATGGTTGACTGGTGCAGAAGGCAGAGACAAGGAGGGGAAAGAGGGAGGAGGGGGAGGAGGAGGAGAGGAGTAGAAAAGAGACTCGCGGCGCCGTCGCGTCACAAAACGAGGACCCAACATTTGCCCATCAAAACGGGAAGAATCCAGCCGTGGCGACGAAGGCTCTTCAGGACGAGCAGCGGTATCGGTACCGCGGCTTCGCGTCAGGCCGACCCCAGCGTTGGTTCTTGATACCGCGGGAAACGTTTAACCTTGAACGATCGGCCGCTTCAGAAACGCCCGATCGTTCAACATCGACCATCTCTGGGACGCCCACGGCGTTCAAGGTTGACCGCCCGCGGTGGGGTCGCCGCCATTCGACACGACGCGAACTTGCCCTGCTCCCCCCCTCCGGGTCGACGCCGACGACAGGGCACCCAGCGACTGAAGGGGCCCTGGGACACACAAATAAATACACACAAATAAACATATCCCCAATATTTTCCCATATTTTCTGGGTTTCTGTCTTCCCCCCCACTTCCCATGGTTTTCCTATATTTTCTGGGGAATCGGCGATTAATTGTGTCTCTGTGTTTCTTTCCCTCCTGAGCGACGCTGACCACAGCACGCCGACCACGAGGCACCAGCGCGTGAGAGCGGCCGACCGGCGGACCCCCAGGTTGACCGCGGGCGCACGCCGCAGGGCACCAGCCAGGGGGCCCACCAGGGCGCGAGGGGCCGACCAGCACGACCCTCGGAGCAGCCACGCGACGCCGCCCACAGGGCGCCCATCGCAGGGCGCCAGCAGCCACAGGGCATCGGCCACAGGGGATCTGTCCAGGTCCCCCAGGCTTGACCACCTGCCGGACCGCCCAAACCTGACCCGAAGACTCGAATGTCAGGCTGGGGGGGGGAGGGGGGGAAAGGGTTCCACGCGTGTTCTGAAATGTTCCCTGGCCCCCCACCACCCGAAATGGAAGGCAAATCGTCAGGCTGGGGGGGGGGGGGGGAAAGGGTTCCACGCGTGTGCTGAAATGCTCCCTGGCCCCCCACCACCCGATATGGAAGGCAAATCGGGGCCTTCGGCCTTCGGGTTGGGTTGGGGTGGTGTGGTTGAAGGGGCCCTGGGACACACAAATAAATACACACAAATAAACATATCCCCACATTTTCGTATATTTTCTGGGTTTCTGTCTTCCCCCCCACGTCCCATATGTTCCCATATTTTCCTGGGCATCGACGATTAATTGTGTCTGTGTGTTTCTTCCCCCCTGTGTGGTGGGCGGTGAAGGTTGGCGCACCGCTCCCCGCCGGGCACGGCGCGCGATTCTTCGCGCCCTTGCGCCGCCCCTCCTGCAGGAGCTCTCTGGCCAAGACCAAGACGCGCGAAGCGCGGCTCTCCCCGCGCCCCGTGACCGAAGGTGACTACCTCCCAGACCACCCCAACCCAACCCGAAGACCCGAATTGGACCCGAATTTCGGGTTGGGGCGGGTACGGATCCCATGTGTTTTTTCAATGTTCCCCGACCCCCCCCCACTGGAAATCGAGGATAACTTTGGGTTGGGGTGGTTTGGTGGGTGGTGATAAGGGGGCCAGAGCGCGAACGGTCGACTGCGCAACACAGAATCCCTCACTGACAGCCCGGGTACCTCCGCAGACCCCAGGTGCCAACAGTGTTGTGGAACTGCACGAGGGAGCAGCTGTTGGCCCGAGTTTTGGGGAGCGCACGCGTGCAACCAGCGTGGGCCTGCCGCATGCCGCAAGCAACGCAAGCGGTACAAGATCTCCATCCGCAGGGATCCGGGCAACAAAAAAAACAGGAGCGTGGGCTGTGGTGAGTGAGGCTCAGGAGACAGAAGATGCAATCGCGTCGCATCTGGGGCATACGTGCCGCTGTTGAAGCGAGCCTTCGGCGACGCGGCAGGCTGTGACGGTCAAAAACACCACGCACGCGCGATTGAACGACAGGCTTCCGATCACGGGTAAACTGGCCATGCTTAGAGGGGGCGACCGACCGAAACGCAGGCGGTCGACCAGCGCAACACAAGCGACCCCCTGTGGTGGAGGGTTTGGGCAGAAACGGCGACAGCAACGAGGAAGTGAGGAGGGGAGCTCCAGCCGCTGCTGCCGCCGCTCCCCCGCCGCTGTCAGCCGCACCAGAACAACCGCAGTGGGGCCGACGAGGGCCCGAATCGCGAACGAAGTTAGGGCCCGAAACGCGGAATGGGTCGACGGACCATGCCAAACAGGTCCACGAAACCTCGGGCGGGACACGCATGCACACTCAACGCAGCAGGCACTGGGACCAGCCGAAACGATAAATAAGGTCGCTGGAGCCTGGGACATTTCGAAGATTCACAAATGCAATGCCGAACCAACCATCCCATTATGCAAATCGATTATCTCTCGGACGCGCCGCGTGGTTTGTACTCATCGCTGACGGGTCGCGCGCCATCACAAGTCGCGCATTCTGCACCCTTCCTCCACGCAATGATTCAGGGTTCTCCATTTTTCTGCAGGCACTGGATGGATGTGTCGTGGTTTCGCCACTCGGTGGCCCAGCGAGCTTACACGACATAGCATTCATCACATGACTTATCACATATTGTTTGCGCAACATGGCTTGGACAACATAACGTACAGAGCGCAGCTTACATCACGTCGCTTGCACTCCACGGTTCCCGCCTGGGTTGAAATGAGTCGCCTAGTTGCGGTTGCGATTGCGCCCGCGGGCGGGTGGACATGTTTTGTGATTGCGGTTGCGGTTGCGCCCGCAGGCGGGTTGAAATGTGTCGCCCGGTTGCGCTTGCGGTTGCGCCAGCGGGCGGGTTGAAATGTGTCGCCAGTTTACCGTTGCAGGTGCGCCAACGGGGCGGGTTGGAACATGTTGTCTAAGTCCCCTTCCAGCACCAATCGTCGTCGTCGTCGCCGGCCACATCATCATCATCATCATCATCATCATCATCATCATCATCATCATCATCATCATCCTCACCATCACTATCACCAGTACCGTCACCATCATCATCATCATCATCATCATCAAACTCGCCATCATCATCAGCATCATCATCATCGACACCGCCATCAGCAACAGCATCAACATCACCATCATCATATCCGTGGACAATCAACATAATCATTGCCATCCCGATCCTCGCCGCCAACATCATTATCATAATAATTACCATCGTCGCCATATCAATCCCAACCATCATCATCACCATTAGCATTGTCATCAGCATCGCCAACTCTATTTTTATCATACTTGACACCGTCATCGTGACCATCGCTCCAAATCTCCCTCCCGCCGTTACTGACACCATCGTATTGTGATGGTTCAAGCATCTCCACACTGTTGCGACATCGACGCTGGCAGACAATTGCTCCAACGTCGTTTATCCCAGCGATCCCAAGGTTTACGCATGGCTTCCAGCATTTACGCCATTGATCGAATTACTCAATATTCATTCTGTTTACTTTATTAATTGTATCCTTTTTATCTGTATTATTCACTATACACAATTTACGCATTCAAAAAAATGTCCGCTTCCAACCTTAATGGTTATGCTTCAAGTCGTAACTGTAAACGTGATTGACTGCACCACTCAATCCCGACTGTCGCGTGGTGAGGGGGGCCCTCGTTTCCAATCCGCAACGCCGCCGCGCGAAACCGGTATCGGCGGGCGCTCCTGGATATATCTTTGTATTATTCCCCATAATGGTCGTCACCCGGGGGGTGGGCTTGGGTGGTCGATCTGTAAACACTGGTTCGATGGTATGTACACCGGTGGAACGGGTTCTTCCCCATACAAACTGGTTTATTCCCCGGTTATTTTTTCCAAAACGTGAGGGGGTCTGACTCCAAGACGTCTAAGAGGATTCTAAGATGTCTCTAAGAAGCTGCGAAGAGA